TGAATGTCATATGAGCAATTTTAAACCACATGTCTACATGTTCCATGGAGATTCATATCATATGTATATGAATTCCATAAATTATCACAATGTCAATATCTCAAGGAGCACATATTAACATTTCTTTCCAACACATTTTCTAAGCATGATATAAATCATCAAGTTATAACAACTCAATCCACACATAGGCATTTTGGCAAACACCATCAAGGCAACAATTCATATTATCACATAAGAATTTTCACCTCATTCACAAAGCATAATATAAAACATATAGCATGTTCATATAATCACTTTTTTCATAGAATTACTAAACAAGCAATTTTCACATCACAATTTCGAGCTAGGAAATTCTATTCCAACCCTATACGTACTCGTTTTCCATACTCATTTCACCCATTTTATATACATAAATGAGTGAAATACATATTCCTTTTTAACCCACACATTTCATATAACACTACAAGTGAAAAATGAACCAAAGTAGGAGAACCCCTACCTCTCGAAGCGTAAAATGACGTTGGGAAGCCCCAAGAACTCAAAACAACCTTGAATCCTCACTTCCCCAAAATCTCATTTTTCAACCTTCGGTGAAACCCTTCATTTTTGGTGTAATCGCGTAGCCCTCGTCGAGGAGAACAACTTTTGTTCTTACCCCAAGTGGATTTGAGCACCGTGGAGTCGTAGATCGTAGAGAGAAGTGGAGAGCTCCTCCCTTTTTCCTCCTCTTCTTCTCTCACATTAACCGGCTGAAGAAATGGGGGGAAAATCTGATTTTCCCCCTATTTATACTCTTAGGATACTTGGCCCACAATGTGCCACACGACCCTTTTGTTTCCAGGTCCGTTTTCATCTCGAAACGATAAAATTTTGTCTCGATTAAAATTTAAATTAATTTTATTTTAATTTGCCTTCAATTATTTTTCAAATTTCAAAACTTTATTGAAAATCCCGTTTTTGGGTCACCCGAGACTCGACTGCCTCGCAAAACGCAAAAAATCTAATTTTCTCATAATCCGATGAAATTTGACGTGGTAACTAGATTTCACGAGACGAATCTAATGGTGAGATCCGTATCATCATCCGAGATCTAGAAAAATTCAAGTTTTCAACCCGTACTGTAGCGGCAAAATTACCGCTTTGTCCTTGTTTACAAAAGTTTAAATTTACGGAGTTTTACAAAATATTTCAATTAAAACAGGGACATCAATCCATATTAAATATTGCCCTGACCATTAAGGAAAGCATATTAATGTTACAATTAAATCTTATTTTTTAAAATGGAAAAGTACTAATAAGTCCTACTTTTCCACAAAAAAATTCAATAAGTTCTACCATATTTTCATTAAAACAATGGAGTCCTACTTTCAAAAATTTATTTCCATGAAGTCCTAAAAGTGTTTGATAAAATTGAAAATTAAGTGCTGAATACTAAATTTTTTAATTTGTAAATTGTCTAGTCTCCATTGAAGTTTGAGTATTAAATTAAATCAAACTGTTAAAATTATTATTATTCTAATTTTTCATTCTCTTTTGTCGTACTATAACTATGTTATTGCTACCAATTTCACAATGACCACCAATGTTGTTGATGTCTTCTCTAACCCCATTGCCCCCATCACCCGTTTGTCATCTACTTTGCTACCACTGCCACCATCATCCATCTATCATCACTAGCACCACAACCATCCCCACCACTCATTACAACCACTTTCATCACCTAACCATAACTACTACCCTTGCAACCGAACACCTCCATGTGGCCATCGTTACTACAACCATGGTGGTTGAGGTAGAGTTGTGGTGGTCAGACTGATGGTGATAGTGGTAAGGACAAAGTTGGTGGTAGTGGTGGTGGGAATAGAGAATGATGGTTGCTGTGGTGGGGTGGTCATGGTTGAATATGACAACGGTGAAAAGGGATAATGGAGGATGATAGTAAAAATAATTGTGGTTGTTGGCTGTTTGGTGGTGGTGTTAGCAAGGGTGGTGAAATGGCATGTAGGCATAAGGTTTGGAGCAGATGAAGCCTTCCTTTTTTTCTCTATTCTCAATCCGCTTTGGCTCTTCATCTTGAGCTCACTGTTCTTGGCCTCAAGCTTGGCTTCTTTTCTTGGAGTCCTTGCCTTTTAAAGACTTTTGGCCCTTGCCCTTGGCCTATTCTTGACTCCTCCCCCCCCCCCCCCCCCGCCGCTAAGTACTTTCAATCTAACGAACTAGTTGCATGTGCTGCCCCTAAATCTTTGACATTTTACCGCTTTTTAGAGGGTGATAGAGTAGTGGTGGTTATGATGGGGAAGGTGCAGGTGGTGGCAGGTTTGTAATATTGGTAGCAGTATTAGCAATGGGTGATATTGGTAAAGTCAGTGGCAGTGGGGGTGGTGGCAGTTAAGGTGAAGCAATGGTGGTGGGGGCAAAGGTAGGTAGTGATATTGGATGGTAGTGGAGATGGTTGTGGCAGCAGTAACTATGGTGGTGAAGGTTGTGGCAGTAGTGACAGGGGCGATAACGGAGGTGGCAGTGGTGGTGGCAACAGTGGTGATGTGGGTAGTCAGTGCAATGAGGGTGATGTTGGAGATAAGGAGACAATAGTAGTGGTAGTCGTACCGGCGGTGACAGTAGTCGGGTGATGGCAGATATGGAGGAGTGATGGGGTAAATGTGGGTGGTTGTAGTAAGGTGATAGAGGTGGTGGCATGGTGGCAGTGGTGGTAGTATTAGCAGCAATAACAATGGTGGTGGTGGGTGTTGGCAGCCATGGAGGGGTGGTGATGGTATGGTGGCAATGGTGGTGGTGGTTGCGACTATGGTGGCGATTGTGGGATGATGTGCGTTGAAAAGTTGGGATGTAAAATGGATTGAGATCAAATTATTTGAAAGTAAACTTGTCTATTATGAGATGTTTATAAAATATTTACTGACTAGCATTTTCAATATTAAGTAATAAATAAGTGGCTTACTACTTAAAAGTTTAGCCTATTTTTAAGAGATACTTAAAATTTTAAGTGATGTGAGTTTCGATTATCAAACAAACTTTAATTAATTGGAAAAGTATTGAATCTCTTTAGTTTTAAGTTTGAATTTAGTTATTGAACACTTAATTGGTAGTATATTTAGTTTCAATTTTATCCTTCTCATCATTAAATATTTACATTGTTATCTTTTATTTCAAATAACCAAATCTTAGTTCAGTTAAAAATTATTATCTTTTCCTGAATCCTAATATACCTGAAATTTTTATTGCCTAAATTAGGTTTATAAGCTGATCTGATCTAGATCCAAATTCTCTCTGAATCTGAATTTAGTTAGTCAGATATGGATTGGTATTTTTAATCTATTATTCAATTATGATTTTAAATCTAGATTCATTCTATCTTATTTTGAAATTTTAGATCTAGATATATCAATATCTAATCTTTGTATGACTTTATCCAAATTATGTATGTCAGGATATACATATAATATAAACAAATTGTTTCATGAAATGGAGCTAAGATTGAGATGTAATTTTATAAAGTGTATAATAAACTTTTTTTTAAATTTTTTTTGGGAGGGGAGGAAGGGGAGGAGGATGGAAGGGGCTTGAACCCTTGACATCAAGAAGATAAAGCCTTCATAAGACAAGGAGTACCATTTGACTAAAGGCCCGTTGGTAGTGTATAATAAACTTGAACTGTGAGGATTGGAATGGATTTTCTAACTGAATTTTTATATTTAATGGATTGAGATATATAGATTATAAAAATGAAGTATGTGAATATTAAAATCAAATTCGAATAAGAGTTCATAAATCGGCTCATCTCAATTTGATATGTTGACATATAATATGTGGAGAACAAATGGTGACCCCAACTTATTAAAGATAAAGGGCAATGAAGGAATAAAATGCATAAAGGACTTTTTGTGAATAAATTATCTATAGTAATACTCTATTGTCCTAATAGAAACATATTAAGACTTAATTGTTCTTTATGAGAAAAAAGTATGACTTATTTGAAATTTTTCCTTTTTTCTTTCATCCTTGAGTGTCTTATAATCTTGTCAAGATTGCTTCATTTAGCTAATTAATTGGGTGATTAGAGCTTTCTAGCATATTTAACCAACTGATCAATTAAAGTAGTTAATAGCTTTGGGGGGTGGTAGCTTCTTGTGAGTTCATCATATATATGTACAGGATATGTTCTTTATATGGTCTAATAGTGGATGAAAAGAGAAAAAGCAAAGTAAATGGGGAGGATTGAAGTTTAGTCTCTAAGAAAGAAAGTGTGTTGAGATTGGATCCATAAGCTAAATGGATGTAGTAAAACTGTATATGGGTTATAAAGATTGGTATAAAACACCTGGGTCACTAAGTTGGCCTACTTGGCAAGATTAAGTCATATTTTTTCTCACTATTCAAATATGTAAGTACGATTATCATGAATATGGCATTGTAATGTTTTTTTAGTTAATAGTCAAATTTGGTAGGTTTTTAATTTAATTTTGGACTTTTTTGATTCGTGACCGTTAAGTAATACCCCTACTTAAGTATTACCCAGATGAGTTGGGGTTGAAAGTACAATACCTTCAAGGAGCCAAGAATAATTCACACTTCATTAAACTTACTTTTGCCTTTACATTTTCAGGTGCCATACCACAAGAAATTGGTAATCGTAACAATTTGGATACATTAGCATTGGGTTACAACAACCTCAACGGTCCAATTCCAATAACACTTTTCAACAACACAATAGTACGATACATATACCTTGGGATGAATCATCTTTCAGGCACTCTTCCATCAACTATGGGCCTGTGGCTACCCAACATTGAAGAATTTATCTTGGAGACAATAGTTTGACTGGAATTCTTCCCAACTCTATATCAAATGCTTCTAGACTCGCTCAACTATTCCTCGGGCCCAACCAATTCTCTGGTGCAATACCCAACTCAATTAGTAATCTAGAACATCTTGAACGTCTTGTCTTGGAAGAAAACAACTTCTCCACAGAATCTTCATCTATGGAATTAAGCTTCTTCGCTGCTTTGACAAATTGCAAAAAACTATGGATGTTGGTGTTATCTTATAATCCTCTCAATGGCATTCTTCCAGTGTACATTGGAAATCTCTCCACTTCTCTTGATCATTTGCAGGCAAATTATTGTGAAATTAAAGGTGACATTCCTAACCAGATCAGCAATTTAAGCAATTTGGCGTTCTTAAAACTAGAAGCTAATGACATACATGGGTTCATTCTGGTGACAATCAAAGAGCTGCGGAATCTTCAAGGTTTGAAACTCCGTCAAAATAGAATAGAAGGATCAATTCCAAGTGATCTTTGCTATTTAAGGAACATAGGCCTTCTAAATTTGAGCAAAAATGAGTTTTATAATTCGGTGCCAGTGTGCTTCGGAAATATTACGTCTTTAAGATATCTCTATCTAGAATCCAACAAATTAACTTCCAGCACACCCACCAACCTATGGAAACTCAAAGATCTCTTGGAGGTCAACTTGTCCTCAAATTCCTTAATCGGCTACTTGCCCCCAGAAATTGGAAGTCTAAAGGTTTTGACAAAAGTTGATCTATCGAGGAATCAGTTATCAGGTATTGTGCCCAACACAATTGGAGGCCTACAAGATCTATCGACTCTGTTATTTGCACATAACATATTGCAAGGACCCCTCCCTAAGTAACTTGGTCGCTTGATAAGCCTAGAGTTTCTGGATTTGTCTTATAACAATATCTTTGGAACGATTCCAAAGTCCTTAGAGGCGCTCTTGCATCTCAAATACCTTAATTTGTCTTACAATAAATTAAGAGGGGAAATTCCAAATGGAGGACTTTTTGCAAGCTTCACTTATCAGTCTTTTATGTCAAATGAAGATTTGTGTGGTGCTTCTAGGTTTTTAGTGCCTCGATGCAAATCTAGTTCTCTTCAAAGATCAAGGAAGAAAAGATTGCTTTTGTCTATATATATCTTGTTGGCGGTTGCATCAACAGTTCTTGCATTGACCTTGATATTTGTTTTGAGCAGATGACGAAGGAGAAATAAAATCCCAACCCATGGAAGAATTGCATACTATAAACTTCGACGAGCAACTAACGAGTTTAATGAGAGTAACTTGCTTGGCATCGATAGCTTTGGTTCAGTTTACAGAGGGATCCTTTCAGATGAGACACATTTGGCTGTAAAAGTATTCAGTTTACAACAAGAAGGTGCATTTGAGAGTTTTGACGCAGAATGTGAAGTACTAAGAAATCTTCGCCACCGAAATCTTACAAAAGTCATCAGCATTTGCTCTAATCTTGATTTCAAAGCTATTGTGCTCGAGTATATGCCCAATGGAAGCCTTGAAAAGTAGTTGTATTCCTATAACTATTTCTTAGACATCTTGCAAAGATTAGATATAATGATAGATGTGGCACATGCATTAGATTATCTCCACCATGGCTACTCGATTCCTGTGATTCACTGTGGCTTGAAGCCTAGCAATGTCTTGCTAGATGAACATATGGTTGCACATGTGAATGATTTTGGCATTGCAAAATTACTGGGTGAGGAGAGAATTGTGCTAACCAAGACCCTGGCTACATTGTACTACATTGCACCAAGTGACTCTACTACCTTTTTAATTTATACTCTTATTTGTGTTTGGATTCTCTTTTCCACTTTGATTTTTTTTTTTCGGGGGAGGGAATAAAATCCCGTACAAGGCGTAACATTCCTTACGAGCATTATAATTTTTCTGATGAATCGTATGATGGATGTAGAGTATGGACTGGAAGGATTACTCTCTACAAGATGTAATGTTTATAGCTATGGCATTATGTTGATGGAGACATTTACAAGGATAAAACCCTGTGATGAGAAGTTTTTGTGGAGATTTGTGCCTTAAGCATTAGGTGAATTGTTAGAGTATGTGCGGCTCATATTTGCTGTGTGCATAATGGCAAGGAGGCAGATGCCATAGCAGAGTCCGCGACGGCATTTGCCTTGTGGGATTTATATAAAGGGGACGCTGATTAGTTGGGGGTGCGGGGGCAACGCCCCTGCGGTACGGTACAGGGGTATTTTTGTAAACACGTCCATATTAGGGTTATATAAATATTTAAGATGTAACCCTACTTCAATAATGGAAAAGAACGGCCGCTCGCTCTCATGGATGTAGGCACATTGCCGAACCACGTAAATCTCTGAGTGTTATTTTCTCCTGCTTTCTTAATTGTTTGATTCCTTACTATTCACCATAATTGCTGCACGATCACAACAATGATTCGCTACCAGATTCCATGATCCAAGTTATAGATGCCAACTTAGTAAGGTCCGAGGACACAGACTTGAACGTGAAGATGCAATGTGTATCATCCATTATGGAATTGGCTTTGAAATGCTCTACAGAGCCACCTAAAGAGAGGATTAGCATGAGGGAGGTTGTAGCAACTCTTCAAAAGATCAAACTTCAATTTCTTGCAAAGTGCAAAAGGCCTTGAAACATGGGAGTGTTGTTCCACTTTTATCGTGTGCAAAGTAATATAACTCCTCATTAATGTATGATTCTAGACTTGTAGTCAAATTTTTATATGCTAACATCATGTTGTTGCCACAGGTTGCAAGGTTTGACATGTGGAAGTGGCAGTAACCCTCCGCTCCAAATTATTCAGACTTGCTGCAAAAATATGTATTCTAAGACAGATATCTAAGGTTTTTTGCTTGTCAATTAGTTATCGAGTGATTTGGCTACCAATGTTGCACTGTAATTGGTCTTTTAGTTGTATATGTAGCGTATATTGCAATCACATCTCCATGCAAAGGTATTTGGTAAGAATTCATTAGCTTTCTGTTTAAAGTCTATCCTACTTGGTAAATCCAATCACTAGACGTGTATCCTTGACCAGAAGACTAGTTATTCTGGACAACTTCAGCTGAAGGATGCGTAAAAATTAATTGTGATGGGGCCTTTCAAGAGAAACCAGGGAACATTTCTAGTTTTCACTCTTGTACTTTTTCTTTTTGCTTTTTGTTGTGTTTTTGTTAGTACTAGATCCAAATTGACATTGAGAATATTGTTGCACTTACCTCGATCATTGTTCAATTTAACATAATGATAGATTTCATACTCGATAAATTAAACTTGGGCTAAGGCCCGGACTGAATCACTTTCTCTAAGATGATTCGTGCTCATACGAATAAGTATTCTCCGGTGTAAGAGATTATAGCACACCGCCTCCATGATACAACAATCCAGCCACTCATTTTAACTTCTTTTAGTGTACACAACCTTAAGAAATAGAAGCATCACAAATACCTTTCTTTGAAAAATAAATCAAGTATAAAATAGAGAAAAAAAAAACATGAGTACCCCCCCCCCCCCAAAACAAAAAAAAAAGAAGTGGGCTAGATGAACCTCTATTTATAGTTGAATGCAAGTTGTAACTTTTAACTCAAAATAATTAGTCCATTGACTTATGTCATAAAATTCATAATTATTTTGGTCTTTGTAACTTATTCACTATAACATAATGGCCACTTGAATCAATCCAATTGTTCTCGCAATAAGGATAGAATATGTAACTTATAGCCCACTAATTTCAAATAACTCTTATTATATCTATACTAAATGTTAAACTTTTAACTCATGTGACTTATAAAGATATAAACAAATCTGATTATAATCAAGCTAAAATAAAAATACAAGCAAATGTAAAATTATTGCTATATAAATAAGATAAATAATAAAGACTTTTTATTTTTATTAAAATCCTCCAATAGTTTTCATTACTTCGTAAACCCTCTTTTAGTGATACATTTTTCACAAAAAAAAAAAAAAAGGACCTGTGTACAAAAACCTAAACCTACTCATGCCAAGCGTTTATGTAGTCACTTTAGCTGGGAAAAAAAAAAAACCATTTCGTTTATCTAGTCAAACTATTGTGGAGAAGGAGCTAATCGAGTCGAGTTTGTCTGCCGCCATGCTCGAGCTTGAACGTAGCTCAATAATCGACATTAGAATCTTATTCAAGCTTAGCTCAACAAAAATTTTGTGAACACTCAAACCAAACTTGAGCTCAATTTCTCATCAATTTTTTCCTAAAAACTTAAATAATTGATTTCTAAACAAAAATTGTTTTAAATCTATAAAAGTAATCATAACAAAAATTTTAATTTTAATTTTTTTCCATTGTGTATCCGAGAACAGAAAAGAAAAGTATATACGATCTTGCATAGGCTTGAGGTCATTTATGTTTTGAATAGGAATCTATTCAAGCTGAGGTGAGTTTATGTTGGTGAGTAAGACATTGTTCAGATTCAACTTATGTATAACACGAGTTTTAAATCTAATTTATTTCAATCATTTTTTAATTTGAATGAGCTAAAATTGAGTCAAGGCAGATCCAAACTTAAGCAACTCGGATTGTTTAGCAATGGTAAAAAGTCTTATCCATAAGTTTCCATTCAGTTCCTGTTTTGGTAAGAAATTTCCATGATACACGGAGAGTTTTGATCAGAACATTTACTGGACATTAGCAGGATCTCTCTCTCTCTCTCTCTCTCTCTCTCTCTCTCTCTCTTCGTGTTCTGCAATTCATCTTCATCTTCCTTAATCCACAGTTAATCTGTCGATTTACATGGTATCAGAACTTCAAACAGAGACAAACGTCTTATCAATGGTTGACACAAACTTCTGTTTCTTCCTCTTCTTCTACTTCTTCGTCCTCTACTAGTGTTACACAGCACAATCCCTTTTACCTTCTCTCAAATTTTTGTAACCTAATCTCGCTGAAACTTCATTCAACGAACTGCATCCAGTGGAAATTTCAAGTCACTTCAGTATTTAAAGGACACTCTCTTCTAAGCTTTGTTGATGGCTCTTTGATGTGTCCAGAACAGTTTATTCGAAATGATCAAGGACTCGCATCAATTGAAATCAGTCCTTCAAAGGATAGTTGGATAACACAGCGTTATCTTCCACATCGTTATCTCTCATCATAGGCTACAACACTTCAAGAGAGCTCTTGTTAGCTTTGGAACGAAGGTATATTCTTCTATCTCTCGATCTAACATACTACAGCTAAAATCAGAACTTCAATCTATCACCACAGGCACCAGCATTGTTGATACCTACATTCAGAAAGTAAAGGAAATTTGAGATAAACTTGAAGCAGCATTGGTTTATATTGATGATGAGGATATTTTGGTCTATACTCTGAATGGATTATCTTCAGAGTTTAATCCTTTTAAAAATGATTAGATCTGAGCCTGTCACATTAGAAGAACTATATATTCTTCTCAAAGGAGAAGACCACTCTTTAGCATCTGAAACAACTCACAACAAATATCCACACATTCTTACTGCAATGATTGCCGCATATCAAGCTATGACTGCAAATTATGTGAATTCTAGTCAAAGAGGAAGAAGATTTAATTAATTGGCAGGAACAATGGAAACAGAGGCGGAAATCAAGGAGGAGGAGGCAGATTTCTCTCAAATAAGAGATTTAATTCTCAGTAGAATTAGAATTTTCCTAACAACCAGTCCTTCTCCAATCACTCTAGACAACCACTGAATTCCTCTTATTAGAAACAACCTAACTCGCAAGGAATGATATATTGCCAGATATGCTACAAACCTGACCATTTAGCCTTGAATTGTTATCATCGCATGAACTATTCTTGTCAAGGAAGACATCCTCCAGCTCAACTGGATGTTATGGTAGCTTATGTCAACAATCAGCAGCCAGGATTTCAATTCCAGCAGTCTGATTCTAATTTTTGGATTACAGATAATGGTGTTATATTGTATATCATTCCAGATCTGCATAATCTTACACTCTCATCAGATTACACTGGCTCTGACAAAATGGCAGTAGGTAATGGTATCAATCTCTTCATCTCCCACATAAGTTACTCAGATTTACAAACTACCTCACATACCTTTCAGTTAAAGAATATCCTTTGTGTTCCTACTATAGCTTGTCAGTCCACCATTTCTATCTTGATAACAACTGTCTTTTTATCTTTGATCTAATCTGATTTTTATTCGGGACAAGACTACAAGGAAGACTCTTTACCAAGGAACCAATGAGAATGGCCTTTATCCTATCAGAGCATTGCCACGGTCATTGACATTTGAAATATTATACACAGATTCTTTGAAATTTGTATGCGCATAACACTCAGACTCTTATTGTTAGTATATTCGTTAATAAATTATGTCTAAATCTCTTGAAATTTGTAGGCGTGTAATACTTAGATCTATCAAGTTTAAAATATTATATTTAGATCAAAAATACACCAAACAAAGATAAAATATTAAATATTTTAAATTTTACAACCAAAATTCATGTACTATTATGACATTTA